ACAAAAATTCGGTACCACTAATCATCTGGGAAATGTAATAGAAATCACAAGATCACACCAATGCGAACGTCTACTATCAAAGAGAAAAAAATAACATGTGCATGAGGATACAGAGAAAGGAGAGGACACGGACACTGGTGGGAGAAATGTGAAGCAGTACAGCCACTAAGTTTCTCAAGAACCTACAAATAGAATCACAATATACCCAGCAACCCTTCCACTGGGTTTACACTCGAAGGCCAGGAAACCAGGGTGGAGAAGAGACATCTAACCTCCCGTGCTTACTGCAGCACTGTTCAGAATGGCAAAAATGTGGCATCAATGTAGGCGCCCACTGGCTGATGAAAGGATGAAGAAAATGGGACATGCATGCACAGTGGAATATTATTCAGCTGTACAAAGAATAAAATCCAGTCACTCATAGCAACATGCATAGAACTGGGGGGGTACGATAGCAAGTGAAACAAATAAGGCACAGAGAGACAAATACATGTTCTCACTTCAGTGTGGAAGCTAAAAAAGCTGCTCTCGCAGAAGTAGAGAGTAGAACAGTGGTCTCCAAAAGCCAAGAAGGATACAGGAAAGAGGATGGCTGTGGGTACAGGGACGCTGGTGGGCAGGAGGGGCTCCAGACGTCAGACGTCGCGGGGTGGGGGTGCTAGTTGTTCTTGCCTGATGGTGACTGAGGAGAACTGAGCTGCTACAAGCTGCTCTCACTAAAGACAGGAAGTGGGGTGCGGGACCAGGGTGGGAAATGGCCTCAATCAATTGGAAAAAGGACCCCCAGTGGAGAGGGCACACAAACTAAGCACAAAGGCCTGTGGGCTTTCCACCCAGCGGGACATGCACAATTCAAAATGAAATGCAGAGCAACAGTAAGTCATAAATATTCTGGTGCACGGCACGGAACACCCTAAAACAGGAAGCACAGCAAGCTGAAGAAACCAGGACGAAGCAGCTCCGCTCACACCCCTGTGGCAACCCGGCTTGCCTGTTAGCCATGGCCCACTGGGCAATAAACCTTTTTGCTTTGACACCACTTCCTCATTTGTGGGTTGTCTCTCACCCTTCATGACGTGGTCCTGGAGAATTCTTCTCCTTGGGAGGGAGGGAGAGAAGGAGGAAAAGAGGAAGGAAGAAAGCCGGATTTCCCTTGATTATTTATTCCCAACACACATGAATCTGTCGCCCAGTTTTACTGACTGTGTCCTCATCCCTGCAGAGGACTGGGAGCGTGGTATCCACCCTTGCTTACTCTAGTCTAGTTCCAGCCAGCAGCTAGGAGGACCACGATTTACCTGACGAAGCAGATCAATGTGGTCACTGAACCGTCTCAGGACAGGCACTACAAGGTTAAATGAGGGAACACACGTAAAGAAGTTGAAACAGTGCCTGGAACGCAGCAACCATCAGTTTCAGCTCTCTCCCACCTTCTCCTGCTCCATCATTCCTCCGTCCCTCCCCTTCCTTTCCTGGGAACTGGGACCAAATGGGGTTTCCATGGGGCTCGAAGGATCCACCTTAGCCCAGTAGTGAGGCCAGCACCCAGCTAGCATGAAGAAGAGGAAGCAGCGCACCACGTGGGAATTGAAGCCCATTGGGGTGCATCTGCACATGTACCCTGGATCTACCCACCACCAGACCCTGCAGAGTGACTGCTCAATCACAGGGAGCCACCATCCCAGCCCAGAGTGGGTCTTGACTGCTAAATGCCATTCTCCACAAAGATATGCAGGGGCTTCCTTCGAGGAATTAGCTGAATCCAGAAATGAATTAGGGGAAAAAAAGAAGAAAAAGAGGATAGAATGGTTGCCCTCAATACTCTCTGAAGTTTGGTTTCACTAATAATAACTATTGTTCTTATTACTGTTATGACTGATAATATTAATTGCTTCTTATTACAGGACAGAAGTTACATCAAGCATTAAATTGTTTTAATTTGTCTACTCACAATAAGTAGATAAATTCATTTGATTTGGCTGCATTAAAACTGTATGTGATCTCTGGTTATGTTCAGGAAAAATATTATATGAAAGAAGACAGACAGGCTACTGATTTTTCTGTATTCTCAAGAAATGCAAATTAAAACAACACTGAGATTCCATCTCACCCCAGAAAGCATGGCTGTTATCAAGAAATCAACCAACCACAAATGTTGGAAGGGCTGTAGGGATAAAGGAATCCTGCTGTACTGTTGGTAGGAGTGTAGACTGTGCAATCACTGTGGAAATCAGTGTGCAGAGTCCTCAAAAGCTAGGATTAGAGGTCCCATTCGACCCAGCTATTCCCCTTCTGGGTATATTTCCAGAAGAATCAAAAATATCATACCACAGTGATATATGTGTACCCATGTTTATAGTAGCACAATTTGTAATAGCTAAATCTTGGAAACAACCGAAATGCCCATCAACCAAGAAATGGATAAAAAGATGTGGTATTTTTATACAATGAAGTACTACTTAGCTATAAAGAAAGATAAACACAAGGCTTTTATGGGCAAATGGATGCAACTAGAGACCATAAGCAAAAGTGAAATAAATCAGACTCACCTGTGTAAACACCCTATTGTCTCCCTCGTGTAAGAAACTGAAAGAGTAAATAAGATCCAAAAGGTACAATAGATATTGTGAAAGGGAAAGAAACTACTCAGAAACAAAGGACAACTGGGATGGAGAACAGAGAAAAGAAGGAAGGGGAAGAAAAATATATATATACATATACACAAGATAACTAAGGTAATTGTACTACTAATTTCTATTAGTTCATTGACAGGAACAGTTAGTGCTCATTTTGTTTAATCAATTTGGCACCCCTGTATCTGGTAATCTGAGCAACTACTTTGAAAATAACGATATGAAATACAAAAGCCATTGTTAATTTCCTATCATCTTGTTTTGAAATTCTGTATTATTTTTATTGTTTTTTATTCTCTCTAAAATAAAAAAATTTATACCTTACCTAAAGGCTCTGTTCCTAAAGGAAGTTGCTGCTGTCTCTTGTACAATGTGTTAAAGTACTATTAACACAAATTGTGACTCTCAGATGATGAGAAAGTGTGCAAACACCTTACTCCCCTGCACCCACATGGCTGGTAGTGCAAACTGGAACTAGAATCCAAGATTCAATCAACAGATCACTTTGTATCTATTAAGAAGGGCAGACCATGCTCATCACATACATTTTCCAACAAATGCCACTCTGAAGTCTTGCCAAATTAAACGTTCCTAGTATCACACCACTAGGTGTGTTCAAATAAACCACTTTCCAGGAATAACTTTCATACGTTGGCCCTTGAATCGTAACAACTGCTATTGCTGCCCAGAATTACATACTATACTCAATGACATGCAAACTATTATTTGCAGATATAAAATCACACCGTTTTGTTACTATGGCATGTCTCTGCTAGGAGTATTTCAGAAGAGCATCAAATCTTTGTGTTTTCTATTAAGTAGATGGCTCGTCAGGCAATCAAAAGCCAGTATTATAGAAATGCTCTCTGATTTAGTAGAATGAAAAGCAACAAGCTGGGCGGTGGCAGTGGGAAAGTCAACCAGCCAGGCACACAGTCTGGATCTGATTCCAGCTTACTGACCATGTGACCCAGATGAACCACAGGAAGCCTCGCCCAAACAGACTGCAGAGCTGGTGTGGGAAATGACAGAACGTGTGGGAAGGTCTTTCTTTAATGCAGGTGTGACACACAGGCACAAAAATGCATAGAACATCTTACCCTGTAAGATTGTAGACACTAAACACATACAAAAAGCACTCAGATCAACAAACAGAAGAGTGAGCTTGTGCCATCAAAATGACCTTGGTGGTTATTCCCACTTATAACACAATACTTTTGTCTCTGTCCATATGGTATGGAAATGGGATTTCACCTCATGCATTATTTCCATGTCGGATTTCTTTTACTGACATCGAAAGAGTCTCCCACTTAGGTGCCTGTATATGCCCACAGCTCATTCTATTGCATAAGTTCATACTGGTGCATATTATTATAGAACACATAAGACATATTTCCTATTTAATTTGGATTGGTTTCCATTTCTCAGTACTTCAAATAGTTCCACTTGAATATTCTACTGCATTTTTGCTGCTAAAGTATACATTCAGCACATCTCTGTTAGGCCCAAGGACAGAATTGCCACTCATGTACGGCTCTCCTGCTGCTATTGTCACAAATTGCCACAGGTTGGTAGTTTGGAACAAGAGACACAGAGGTCAAAATTTTTACATGTGTCTCACTAGGCTAAAATCAAGATGATAGTGACACAGTTATGTTCCTTTCTGCAGGGTCCAGGGGAGAAATCTGTTTCAGGACTCTTTCAGATCCCAGAGGCTACCAGCTTTCCTTGGTTCATGGTTCCATCCTCATCTTCTATGGCAGCAATGGCTGGTAAAGGTCTTCTCTATATATGACGCCCTGACAAGGATTCTTTGGCTTCTCTCGTCCACACTTAAAGGAAAAATTGATTACATGGGCTGACAAGAATAATACAGGATTATCTCCTCAGCTAAAAAGACATCATATCAGAGTGACCCAAGCATACCCATGTTTACAGAAGCACAATTCATGATAGCTAAAGCTTGGAAGCAGCCTGTATGTCCATCAACAGATGAATGGATAAAGAAAATGTGATATTTACCCACCATGGAGTATTACTCTGCTATACAGAAGGATACATTTGAGTCATTTGTAGGAAAATGGATGCACCTGAGACTATAACATTAAGTGAAATAAACCAGACACACAAGTTTACATAGTCCATAGTTTCCTTATGTGGGAAACCCAAAGTATAAGTAAAATTAAAGAGCAAAATAAAAGATATATAACAGGAAATGGGAAAGATCTTTTACAAAAGGAAAGAGGACTAAAAGAAGGAAGAGGGAAGGAAACATAAAAGGAATTAAGATGTGTTAGGCATATGGACCAACTCACCACAATGAATGGAATCCTTATATACTACAAATATGTACTTATATATATTTTTCTGAAAGCAGCTGATTAGCAACCTCCATTTCATCAGCAACCTCAGTTCCCACCTTGCTGAATAACAGAATCAGTCTCCAGGGAATAAGAGGAGGAAGATGTCTCCAAGGGCCATGAATCTCCCTTCCACAGTATACATACATTTTAAAAGTGTTTTTAAAATTTGCCTTGAACATATTTTACATCACCGGAAAGCAAACCAGTTTCTTCTTTTCTATGCCTCAGCTCTAGTTTCTTCTGTTAGTCCCGTAATGCTTCTAAATATAGACATAAAAATAAATTATAAAAATTTTGTCTATATATATTAACTTCAACCATTTATAATATAATACAGTGAAAGCTACAGAAATACAAAATAAGTAAGTGACTTCCAGTCAGAAGGCCAATTAAGCAGGTGCAGGGGGAAAAAGACATAGTGGAAAAATGTAACAAAAATATTTGTACTCCACAACTGAGCTCTGGATTTTGAAAGAAAAACGTGAGAAACAGGATAAAACCATGGTAACTAAATCCAGCTCTACACATTGAGGGCTTTGCTTTTTATTCCTATCAGAGCTAGAAATGGAAGTCAAACTACATACATGGTTTTGAACTAGAAACATTTCCCATCGACACAACCAGGAGCCAAGAAAATCTCATCTCATCTTTGAAAGGTCTGAAAAATTTTCACTCACTGGCTTACTGTACTCATCCGCTTTCACTTGACTTGACCAAATACCCATCACCCTCAATGTAAAGGAGAGATTTAATTTGGCTCATGCTTTAAGGGGACTCATTGTCAGGTGACACATTGTCAGCTGGCTCCAATGCAAAAATATTACAGTGGAAGGGCTTGTGGAGAAAAGCCACTTAGTTAACAGCAGCCAAGAAGCAGTGCAGGGAAAAGAGCCAGAGAACAGGGGTTCACGGAGACACTGGCCTGAAGGCAACACCTCCCCAGCCCACCCACACACACTCACAAGTGTGCTCCACCAGTCATCTTTTCAGATCCCAAAGGAAATCAAATAGTTGGGCTGGGGATAGCTCAGTGGCACAAGCACCTGCCTAGCAAGCACAAGATCCTGAGTTCAAGTCTCACTACCAAAAAAAAAAAAAAAAAAAAAAAAACCCACAGAAAATCAAATCATCACTCCATCCTAGCCACCAAATCCCATTCCTTGGCCACTTGCTACCCAAATACACCTCCTGAAACCATTCATAACACCCAAAGACAAGCATAAAGACAATATTAAGTTCATAGCTGCACTTAACATAATACAACTGTCCTGCATACAACCAGAAACAAAACAGTCCCTCCCCCAAAATCTGAAAGTTCCAGCATCTTTCAAAAGTCCAGGTTACAGTCTAAGACTCAAGGCAAACTCTTAACTATAAACCTCTGTAAAATCAAATTCAAGTTACATAATCTCAATGTACAATGGGACAGAGCCAACATTCCCTTTACAAAAAGGAGGAACAAGGGGTTGAAAAAGCACAGATCCAAACCAAGACCAAAGCCCAGCAGGGCAAATATTAAGTCTTGCAGCTACATATTGGGCAGCTGGTGCACAGGGCGGGAGGTGTCAGTTCCAGAGCCCTTTGATGGCCTCACCACCTGGGCCTTGCTGGTTGCAGACAACATGGCCTTTCTGTTGGGTTTGCTCCACTCATGCTCTGCAGCATTCCAAGGCAGACAGTGCATGTTCCTACCATCTCTGCCTGCCTGGGGTTTGCACTGCACCTCCAACTTCATCCTGCAGTTTCATACCCTGTCCTCCCAGGGGCTCCTTGCCTGACCTAGGTTTTCCCTCAATGCTTGCATTCTGAATGCCAGGAAAATCACTATCATTTCTACAAAGGGCCAATCAAATGGTTTTGCCTCCCACAAAAGTCATAAAAGCTCTTCTCCCCTCACTAAGTTTGTGTTTTATTGCTCTCCCAGCTGCCATCAGAGCATTTAGGCTGATGTTTGTTTAGGGCATTATTCTGCCCTGAAGGTAAAAGAGGTTGACTAACACTGTTCAGTCCAGCTGGTTTATATGTCAACAAACTGATAACCAGGTGCATTTTTCCACAACATTTGTTTTGTAGACTTACCCATTAATGGAACACTTAAGTGTTAAGTGAAGCCTTTTTTTTTCTCCTATATGTCTAGCTATTCCATTTAGCTTGGTTGCCAGGTAGTATTTCTGGTATCCATTTTGCTACTTCACACTTTACTTTCTAGGCCCATCAGCTATTCCTTCTTAATTTTATAATTCAAATTATAAACACTTTTCCAAATTATTTTTTAAAAAAAACCAACATTACTTAAATGATGCCGAAATCTCCTGTCAGCAGAAGCACTAGCCAAGTCCCCTTAATGTGACTATGGCTGCAGTGGCCTCTAGGTGTCTGAATGACTGACCAAGTGAGTGTGTCCAAAGGACCAATTCCCTAGGTGGCCACACTCAAGCAAACGGTTTGGAGCTCTCTTGCCAAATAAAAGGTTTACACTTTTGAGCCTTCAATAGGTAGTGTCTTGCTAAGTCTTGAGACATCCTCAAGGCAGTTTTTCCTCTTCTCCCTGTACAAGCTGCCTAGTTTCTCTCCAATGGCAATAATCCCTTCAGCAGCTGGACCTATTTTGGTCCCAACTTTACATGTGATTCCTTCTGGGGCAAAATTTAGGCTTTTAAAATCTTTGTGCTCTTTCTTTTGCCACCAATTCTCCCTATCAATACAGCTAAAAGCAATCAACAATACCCATGCCACACCCTCAGTGTTGGGCTATCTTGAAATTTCCTGCACCAAATCAATTAATCCACCACCCTTAGCCTCAGTATCCTACAAAGTATAGGATATGGGCAAAATATAGACAAACCTTCTGCCAGAACATAACACACGTGCTCTCTACTTCAACTACCAATGGCATGCTTGCTCCCAATTGAAACCTCCTGAGCCGGGACTTTACTGTCCACAATCCTGTCAGGATTCTGGTCTATCAAGCTCCAACTAGCAATACTCACCAATCTCTGTTTATAGCATTCTAGGACTTCTTTAGCTTGCATCTCCAAACTTTTTGAAACTCCTCCTCCAAACCAGTTCCAACGGTTTCTGAAAAACATAGTCAGGTACAGTCATGGCAACAGTTTACTATATCAGTCAGCTTTCCAGTTGCTCTAACGAAATACCTGGCCCCTACTTAAAGGAGAAGAGATTTCATCGGGTTCACATTCTATGGGGATTCATTCCATGTGCAGCTGGTTCTACATCAGAAACACTACAGCAGAAGGGTGTATTGGAGCAAAGCTGCTTAGTGTATGGCAGCCAGGAAGCAGAGCAGGGAAAAGGTTCTTCAGACGAACGTGAGACAGCAGACATTCGTGATAGTGCCTTATCTCCCTGCCCACCCAGGCGCATCTAGAAGCACTCTTCACTGATCCCCTAGATCCCAAAGTCAATCAAGTTGACACTCCTCCTAACTGCCACCTTTAGGCAACAGTGCAGAAGAGGACTGCCTCACTCACACACTAATGGCAAAAGAACCTCCAGGAAATCAGAAACTTAAACCTACAGTAAGCATATGTGTGGGAGTTCACTACCTCCTCACCAGCAACACACCAAGCTCAAAACAGGGACAACAGAACTGTCACATGATAATACCTCACCAGCCTGGAAGACTCAAAATTTGCATGGAATCTCACTGAAGATGGGTGCACAGTCTAAACTACAAAATAAAAAGGAAACTCACCAGTGTGAGAGTCAGAAGAAGCAAGAAATAAAGGAATGTATACCCCAGAAGTCTTGCCATAGAGAAAGCCTAGAGGGTCTGAAAAGCAAGTACTGTATATATAAACTTCTCAAGAAATGAATGAAGAATCAGACTGAGGAGATAAGCACATTACTGAAATGCTTTATAAAAATCAGATCTGGGCACAGGGAGCCATGCAGCAGCAAGCACTGTTGCACACCGGCCCTCAGGGTGGCCGCCACCACTCAATTGAGAACTAGCATGACACAGAGAAACAATGGCACAATTGGCCCACCATGCACTGGCTGCAGATGCCCACCCACAGAAGTGTGTGAATCATTCAAACATGGAGAAACCCCTAGGAATACATGCCATACAACAGGTCACTCTTGCTCCTGTCGTTGAGAACCAGAAAGGTCCAGAGTCAGTGGAGGAGCAGCTGCTGAACAAGGACTCAGAGAACATGAGAATGCAGACTAAGCTTGAGGAGTCAGAGGTCCTGTGGACTAGGGTCATGAGAGCCGTTCGGAAGCTGTAAACCAGGAGGACCTTGCACAATACCTGCAGAGACTCCCTGGAAGCCATTCTTCCCCTGACAGTACAGACTGTGGTGGAGCTCTGGAGAGGTCTGCAGCAGGATTCCTGCTGCCTGTGCTGACAGTTGGGGAGAGGACACTAACTGGTTGTGGGGTCCCAATGCTATAGAAGGCTGGAGAGAAAATGCTGCAAAACATGGCTTTCACCCCAGATGGCTCACTTGAGATGTTAGTAAGAATTGCGTCCTCAGTGTTCTATAGCTGTGACGAGGAGGAGGCCAAGGACAGAAAACAAAGAGACCGAGAAAAAGCAGCTGCTTTTGCTGCAGCACTAGGAGAAACAGATCCCAACTCTGATTCCCGGGGCCCCAAGAAGAACTCAACGACTGCATTCATCTGCTGCCACTGTTAAAAGCCAGGCCACCTCAAGAGGAACTGCCCTAAGAGGGCCCATGGGCCATGCCCTGAATGCAAAGGTGACCACTGGAGATTGGTCTGCTCTCTGAAGCAGAGGCCCCAGAGCTCAGACCCATGCTACCAGTTAGTCCAACAGGAATGAGAGGGCCCAGGGCATACTCTGCCTTCTCCCTTTGGCCAGACTGTCGTCTCCATGGAGGAGCCCTGGGTAATCATGACTATGGAGGAACAAGAAAACAGCCTGTTGCTAGACACAGGTGCAAGTCTCTCGGTCCTTCTTTTCAATCCTGGCCTTCCTTCCAGCCATCATACCTCAGTGAAAGGAGTCACTGGTGAGGAGGTAATACACTATTTTTCACAACCCTTAGGCTGTAACTACTTGTTAGATCCTTCTTGCGTATCTCTGTCTTCCTGAGAAACCACTTTGAAGATACCACCATGTATTATAGCAGCCATTGATATTTTCCTACTAATCTATCCATAACTCTGTAATGTTTGTATTGTTCCTATCCTATTTTGTAAATGGATGCATGTCTATTATTATGTGTTTCCTACAACAATCACTGAGAAAAGTTAATGATTATTCAATAGGTTACTCATGTATACCTCTATTTATTTTCTTTAGAAGCCACTTTGAAGATACCAAAGTATAGTACAACAACTATTGATAATCTCCTACCTCTTTTGTCTGTAACTCACCATTGTTTGTCTATTTGTTTTCCTGAGAAACTATCTTGTAGATAACAATATGTAAAACAATAACCATGGATAATTTCCTACCACTTTGTCTGTAATTTGGTAAGCCCCCCCCATTATTATGTCATCCTTCTTTTACTCTTTAAAAGAAAAAAAAAAAAGAAAAAGCAGATCTGAAAAAGTAAATAGAAAATCTGGAAATGAAACAATATAAACAATGAAAATCTCTGTAGATATGTTAAATATGTATACACTTTAGAAGTAACAACTGGTAAACAGGAATTAGAACTGAGACATTCACCTAGAATAAATCACAGGAAGATCAAGTGCTAAAAATTATGACAAAGAGACACACAGGACAAACTAAATTGCCTCATCTGTTATTAGAAGGGGGTTCAAAAGAGATGGAGAGTGGAGCGAGGTCTGAAAAGCAAGACCAAGCACAGTCTCTGACCACAGTCTCTGGCTCTTAATCCAGCAGAAAGATTAAAAAAAAAAAAAAGGCCCATCTTCTAAGACCTGAAAGTAGCTCGTGGGGCTCCAGAATCCTAGGGCAGGACCTTGACACTCAGCCTCCCTATCGGGTCATCAGCTTCTCACTCCTCAGATTTGAAATGACATAATTTTGAAGCAGAGATAGAGCCTAGTCATAGCCGAGGTTAGGGGTCTCCTTTCCTGAATCTGATTTCAGAGTCACCACGGCAGCTTTTACTTTTCCTGCTTGTTCAGAGAGGGAGGAGAATTTACATGTCCTGAAGCACACATTTACATGTCTACTGATAGCGTCCATAAGGACAATCTATTGATTTAGGTAGCCCAGCATCCACCTTTGTCCATCCACTTGATCTTTACTTTGGGGAACCTCACTCCAAGTACACACAGCTCCAGGGCAGGCATGTAATCCTTAAAAAAGGCAATTTAATAAAATCTATCTTCAAGGCTATAATAACTGTCTCAGGGATAGATATGAAACCCAAGCAAAAACAAAGAGATGAACTGTAGGGCTCTCAGTGGAGAGAACTTTTCTTCTGGAACCATTAGGTTAGTAGAATGTAAACCCCATCGGCACAGGCCATGGTGCAAAGGAGAGGTTCACTGCAGATAAAGATACCCGAGGAAGGGAGACCCACCCACCGTTGAAGGTGATGGGCCCTGAGTCCAGCCGTACCTAATCCAATGTCACCCCTGGACTCCGTGGTTTATTAGCTAAGAACTTCTCTTTTCTGCTTACGGCTGTTTGACTTATATTTCTGCACTATGTGACTTTGAGAATCCAGACTAATAAAATTTTTAAAAGCAGTAGCAGAAGGAATAGCAAGAAGATAGTTGTTCTCTAAATAGTTTCCCAATTAAAAATGCTGAGAAAGATTTGGGCTTTAATCCCAACATTACTGTAACTCATTAACCATGTCCTACTTTGTAAATCTGATGTATATTTTGTACGTCTTAGAGTTCTTCCAATGACCTCTAAAAGCTTCACAAATTTACAAACAACTTAAAATGATTTTTAATTAATTGAAATGGAAAATATGACATTCATAATTTTAAGAGAATTTTAAAATGCCACAAATAAAAGTATCAATTTAGCTTTACAAGGAAAGAATTGATAATAATGACAATTAACATATTTTGGAAGCTGTATAGGCAAAAGGAGGTGAGATTTTAGCTCAAAAAGAAAGGCCCTAGTTGTCCATGAATAGACAATTATCAGGTAGGGGGAGGATTTGGTTGGGATAGAAAGATGTGCTCACACGTGTTTACATAACTAAGCTTACAACTGCGACTCTGTAAGACAGATCAGAAACACTCTCCAGACAAACCAATGAAAACATGACGCCTTCCTTCCATCATCCACTCTCACAGTCTCCTGTGCCTCTTTATATCCCTAGTCACTCGATAATGTTACAATGATCTCCTCTATAACCTCTGAATGTCAAATATTAGAGCCAAGCAGTGAAGTAAACTCATCCTTTCTCTGTATTCCGTCTGCAGGATGACACATTATCTGTAACCAGGAATAAAGACACATGATGTATAAAATAACTCAATACTAAGTGCCCATAATCTATTCCAAATTATGCCACACTTGCTCAATAACAGGGCAGATTGGGATGGTCTTGTACTGCTGCCAGCCAGGTACAGTCCCTGGGTAATGACCATCGCCTGACTGAGGTGACCTGCTGTGCCTCCCAGCTGTCACCCTCTGTGGTTTTGGTCCCCAGACCATTCCAAGCCATTTTGCAGAAGGAACAGGAAGTGTCCTAGATGTCAGGTAAACCATCCGACTATACCATCACAGTGTGTAGAATGCATGACAATAGCTTGGAAGAAAATCTCAGAGCTAACATGCCCACGCCTTCAAGACATGATTCATGACTGCCGCTGCCAACACATAGTCCAGTACTGCATGGGACAGCACCAACCTGGATGATGGGAGTCCAAACACAGACTCTGCAGGTAACAGTGTTACAAAAACCCACACAGTTTACTAAACTAATATTTTTCATTTTAGATATGTATAAGTGGTAAATAATAAAAATATCTGCTTAATAACAGAGTGGTTTTTTAATGAAATGCACATTCTCAGTGATAAGGAAAGGTAATACAAGCGATTAACTGATACTGGTGTTTCCTCCTAGGGGTAGTTAAAATCATGGAGCAGCCTATAAGGAATAGGTCAGTAGGTGAAATTTAGCAATGTCTGAAACCAAGCC